GCGTGGCCGGAGAATCAGGACCTTTCTCTACGACAGTTATCGGCCAAGTTCACACTTCTCTAATGCCTGGTATCGTTTCTTCGGGTCTCCGACGTCCGGGCTTTTGATATTAACGCATTCACCTTTTCTCCAGATGGGGTGACCTTTGCGGTGTCGAGACGTACCAAGTCCAACTCCTCTGCCATTTTCTACCCCTTTTTTTGAGAGGCTCCTAAGCTCTGTGTGGTTTCTGCTCTGTCTCGTTATGTGGCAGTTACTACCCCACTTTGAAGTTCCCTATCAAGACAACTGTTGATATCTTATGTACGACCGCACAAACCGGTGTCTCGTTGGATCAGATGGCTTTTGTCGTTGGCCGGCATGGACTCCTCTTTTGGCGCTCATTCGGTAATGGTCACAGCAGCATCAGGAGCCCTGGTAGCAGGTGCTTCCCTGGCCGATATTCTACGTTCAGCAGACTGGTCTCAAGAAGACACATTTCGACAGTTTTATTTCAGACCTGCAGAACATGCAGCCTTTGCCCTACTGGCTGAGCATTAAAAACTGCAAATATGAAGCCTCCTGTCATGTTATAAAATTGTAGATTATGCTAGCTTTAGTGTACCTATAATCTTAATTTTATTAATGACAGGAGGCAAATATTTCCCACCCTTTGTTTTTCCTGACCCTTGTGTGTTGTATTATCTGGCAGGTTTAATTCTTAATAAAGAATTATATTTCTGGTCAGTGTTCGTTGTGGTTATTTCCTTCGATACGTTTTCATTTTTCTGCCTGGGCCGGGATCTGTTCACTTGGTGGTGTTCACTATAATTTGCTCTGGGTGGCTGCATGCTTTTATACATACCTTTCATTGACTAATCACGATTTTCGATTCTGTTTATCTCGTTTCAGTGTAAAGGTCCCAGGATGGACTTCCTTCCAAGTTTCGACTCGGTTGAAGATTCCTAGGAGAATCATTGTTTCTGTCAAGAGATGGACTTTTATTGTTATGTTATGTTGTTTTTTTCCTCGACTGTGTTTTGTTGTCGCAGCTTGAAAGAGGAAATGGAATGTTGGGAAGGGACTTATATGGCCACCTTACTGTTTTCTGATTGGTTGTTTACTCTCTGGTGTTTTGCTGCTGTGGAGTTCTAGTAAAGAGAGACTTAAGCAAATATTCGCTTCCTGTCATTAATAAAATTAAGATTATAGGTACACTAAAGCTAGCATAATCTACAAAAAAGGAGATAGGTGTTGCGCTGTATACATACATACAGTATGGTTGAACCTAGTATGCTGACAAAACGTCCCGATGAGAGCAATTCCAATACCTTATACAATAAACCTAAAACAAGCAAAAAGAACTCCAATAGTGTAACACCGTAGATATGAATGATAATAAGTGTCAAATACAGTAATAAACTCACATTCTCCTGAGCTTAACGCCAAGCTCAGGGATAAACGTGTGTAGGTCCGTACAGACGACCTTCCTCTTCTTCTAACCAGGTGGTCTTCTCTAATTGCCTCTAGGGCTCAAATAGAACAGATATATAGTGTAGCACGTCTATGCAGAATACTCCTACTTCTGGTGTGTAATATACTCACAAAAGTGGAGCCTCTATATCGGCTCTATCTCTACACGTTGAATCCATGATAGAACTTTTCAAAGCAGGAACCAATTAGCCCACATAATCAGTAGAAAATTATTTTATTACATCAGAAGGGTATAAAAAACCCTCTATAATAATTTAAAACACAAAAGTATAAAATACTATTAAAATAAATAAAACAGTAACAAATGGGCATAAAAGATATCATACACTCCTTCCCAGAACGCGTTTCACCGTAACTCCGACGGCTTCCTCAGCTGGGTCCAATGTATCTTCTCAAAGTGTAGTTATTCTGCTTATATAGTCCTCTCTTCTACTCTGCTGTTTGAAAAAGGGCGCGCTTGTCCTGTAAACACCCGATCGGTACTTGCGTTCCACACCTCCTTTCTCTTACCAGATCACTTCCGTATATGATGTCATCTTTCTCGGTCATGTGATCTAGTACCGGGCATCATATACAGGTCCCATTCATCATATCAAGTCCGTGATAAAGCAATAAAAAAAGAGTACAAATAACTACTGTTACTTCACAGGGGGGAAAAAAACTGAAACAAAATAAATATCCCATATCGTATGCGATCGGCAAGGATATACAAACAAGAAATCTCATACAGTGTATCCTCTTACTCTCATTCAACTTTTGTCCAGAGGAAACTGTTACAGTTCAACACATCAATAGTAGTTACATTCCCTCTATGTTCAAATATGTTGCATATAAAGAATTCGATAGTTACAAATGACCCATTACATCCAATACACAAATAAAATATACAGTACATCTAATTGTTTCACATTGTGGATCACTTACAAATTTAACAATCTATACTGTGCTAAAACACTAAATCCTATCAACAATAAAACATATATAGAGACTATATGTAAAGAATGGAGGATAAACAAATAAAATATCTCATGAAAAAAAAAGAAGAATATGTATTATAGCACACTGGGCTTTCTTCCTAAAAAATCACTGATTTAAGAATACGTATTAAAACCATAAAGGGTGAGATTATTGAACTCAAAAATCATTTTCTTTTCCTTCCTACTAAATTAATGGGAGGAAATAGATATTTATAAAATAAATATTTGTGCAGACTCAACTATCCTTCCAAAAAATGGCAGATTTCAAAATCCGTATTAAGACCGTAGGGGGTAAGAGTGTTGAATTCAAAAATCATTCGCATTTCCTCCCTACTAAGTTTCTGGTTAAAATTGCCTCCTCTCAAGTCTTTTGAGACTTTTTTAATACCTAAAAATAATGAACCTAAAGGGGACTGATTATGGAATTGTTTTTAATGCGCAGGTACACTATGGTTATCTGCGCCTCTCATAATGTTTCTGCTATGTTCCTCTATCCGAATATGTAGGGCCCTGGTTGTTTTCCCCACATAATTCAGACCGCAGGGACACTGCAGAACATAAATAACATTCTTTGTATAGCACGTTATCATTTCCCTTATTTTGAAATCTTCCTTGCTTTTGAAATGAGTTAAAGTTCTTTTTTTATTCCCTGTCCTCTTACAGGCTAAACAATAGCCACATCCATAAAATCCTTTCCCTTCATTTAAGAAAGTGCCGTTCATTTTCCGGTCTCTAATAAAGCTAGAGGTTAGGGTGCCCCGAAGATTTCCACTCCTCTATGTATGAACCGTGGTTTTTCCATTAAAATAGTGGCTAAGGCTGGATCTTGACGTAAAATAGGCCAGAATTTATAAATAATGCTTCTAATTTTGCTATTTTCTAAGCTGTAATTGCAGATGAAAGGTACATCTTTCACGTCCTGTTTAATCCTTTCTTTATACACTAAAAGGTCTTCCCTTTCTGTACCTTTCACCTTCAATCTGGCTTCTTCTAATTTATTTTCTTCATATCCTTTGTCTAAAAAAGCATTCTTTATTCTAATTGATTGATCTTCATAATTACCTACATCTGTGCAATTACGCCTAATACATAGAAAATTGACCCCTAGGTGCATTCTCCAGCCAAGGCGTAAAATGGCAACTTTCTTTATTGATAAAACTATTAACATCAACTGTTTTAAAAAAAAATTTGGTTTTAATCACTCCGTCCTCTATAAAAATGGTAAGATCTAAAAAGGCTATTTCTAAATTACTCCATGTGCTAGTCAATTTAATGCCCCAAGTGTTGGAATTTTAAAAAGTAAGAAATTCTTGTAAGGACTCTTCTTTTCCTTTCCAAATAAAGAAGATGTCGTCAATGTAACGTCCATAGGAAACCAAGTTCTCACCCCAGCCATGTCCGTCATATACAAACAAACGTTCCCAATATGACATGAATATATTGGCATAGCTGGGGGCGAACTTGGTCCCCATGGCAGTACCATTGATCTGGAGGTAAAAATCGTCCCCAAACCAAAAAAAGTTATTTTCTAAAATGAGTCTGATGCCTTCCAACACATATTCTATTTGGGTATCTCTCATATCTGTGCAATTCTTTAAAAAACAATTTATAGCTTCGTATCCATATATATGGGGTATATTGCTGTACAGGGCTGTAACGTCACATGTGACCAATAGCCAGCCCTCTTCCCAAACATTTGTTTTTAATAGGTTCAAAACTGCTGTTGTGTCTTTTATATAGGATCTAGTTTTTAAAACTAAAGGTTGCAATTGTAGGTCTATATAATGAGATAATCTACTAGAAATTGAGTCTATCCCTGCAACTATGGGTCTCCCTGGTGGATTCTCCACATTCTTATGAATCTTCGGAAGAAAATAAAAAAACAGGCGTTTTAGGGTATGGGATATTCATATAATCAAATTCTTTCTTATTCAAGATTTCTGATTCCAGGCCTTTTATTAAAAAAATCCTAAATTTTTCTTCTATCGTGTTACTAGGGTTAGTGGATAATTTTTTGTAAGTAGTGACATCCATCAGAATACGTAATGCTTCTTCTATATAAAATTCTTTAGACATAGCCACTATTCCTCCCCCTTTGTCTGCTGGTTTTATTACTATATTATCATTATTTTTCAATTCCCTTAACACTTTCCTTTCTTTTATCGATAAATTATCGTGAAATTTATCTTTTATCTTTATCTTTCTAAACTCATTAAGGACCATCGTTTCAAATGTAATCATACTCTCTGAAATCATTTTATTTAGGAAAAAAGCTTGATTTCTTTCTCAGGCCTGTATGTGTAAATCCATCATCCCTATCTAGTTGTCTCTCTATAGGGTTTTTAAGGAAAAAAATCTTTAGACATAAATTTCTTTTGAACTTATTTAGGTCCACATAAAAATCGAAATGATTCTGATGTTTACTTGGGGCAAATTGTAGCCCTTTACTAAGGGTATTTACCTCATCTTTTGTTAACTCTATATTGCCTATGCTGTAGATACCCATTTACTTCATAGTTACAGGGTCCATAGGTGTTTTTTTCATAATCTCTATTTCCTTTCTCTCCTGTCTTTTTTTGATTGCTTTACCTCCTCTCCTTCCTCTGGTGATGAATCTCTTCGTCTTTTTAGGTATGTTACTTGGTCTACTCCCTGTTCTCTCTTGTGTCTCTCTATCTGACGGCTCCTCCAAAAATCCTGTTCCGGTTCTTGTCCTTCCAGGACCTGATACCGGTTCCACTTTCTTGGGGATTCCTGTCTCAATGGGGGTTGTCCGTCTCTTACTTTTCTATATTCCCTTCGCTCTCTATTGTATGTGCTATCTTGATTGTGGGGTCTATAATCCTCTCTCTTTCTTCTGTACTCATATGTGTCATTATATTTTTCTACATTTCTCCTATCATATGTTCCATTATCCCCCCATTTATTCTGATAATGCTCATATTTTGGTTTCTCTCTATGGGGCAATACTCGGGATGTGTATCTATTTTTCCTATCTTCTTCTCTTTGACCATACGGGTAATATGTCGCCCTGTGATTCTCTCTATAAACAGCTTTTTCCCTATGTCTATTTGGTGATGCCAAATTTCTTTGTTTATTACCATATTTACAAGGGGTATAGTGGGGTTTCATATTCTCTCTCTCTATCTTAATGATCTCTCGATCTCTCTGTTGTCCCTGATATTTAGAGAAAGACCTCACTTGCTGATTTTTATAATCCCGTACATCTCTCTGGTATTTATTTATTTTGGTTTCCACTACTCCTCTCTCTATCCTATCCAGGTTGATTTTTATTTCTTCCGTTAAGCTATCAAATTCCTCCTTGTTAAGAGCATTTAGAATTTCATCTTGACATTTAGTAATCTCTATGTCTAGTTCTTTCAAATTCTCCCTTCTGCTTCTGATAATAAGTTGCATGGAGATAAAGGAAAAACTCTCTAACATAGTGTTACAGTCTTCCATGAAGCCTGTAACATCATGATCAAAAGTGGGCATTTTGAAATATTTTAACCCTCTCAGTGTGATTTTTTCCTCTATATATTTTTCTTACGTAGCAACCTACCATTTTATTCTCAATTCCTTCTGTAGAAGTCTCTCTAATTTAATGCTAGTTTTATCAGGTTCAACTCCTCTTTTATTTTCTGATTTATTACTCCAATTGGCAAATTCCCTCGCCATATCCTTCTGCATATTATTTATTTTATCTTTTAAGCTCAGGAGAATGTGAGTTTATTACTGTATTTGACACTTATTATCATTCATATCTACGGTGTTACACTATTGGAGTTCTTTTTGCTTGTTTTAGGTTTATTGTATAAGGTATTGGAATTGCTCTCATCGGGACGTTTTGTCAGCATACTAGGTTCAACCATACTGTATGTATGTATACAGCGCTACACCTATCTCCTTTTTTGTATCTCCTTTCGTATTGATGTAAGTAAGAAAGATTGCATCTAGGTGTTACAGCAGCTTTTTTAGCGTTTTGGACTAGAGAGTGTTTTATTCTGTTTTAGCGCCAGTATATAATTTGTACTAGCAAAATCTACAATTATATAGTGATGGCAATTTATGAGAGGTGGAGTTTGGGAGGTCACATGTTCCAAAAGGAATCCTTTTATTCTGATTGTTTTTTCTTTGCTGCTGTTTGTGAAATAAAGAGATATGCATAATACTCGCCTCCATGTCTTTCATAAAATCATGACTTTTTGTCATGAAATAGCAAAATCATGTCATTTTATAGAACTGTTAAATTGTTGCAATTGATACCTTCATTTCTTTTTTTCAGTTTCCTTCCCTTTTGATACACAAAATATTCTAGCACAAACATTTTATTTTTGTATTTATTAATAGAAACCAAAACAATTTTAATGTGTGATTAGCCTGAATTATAACTACATATAGTTAATTGCAGACTGGTGCACAAATTCTTTTCAGCTGGTATGAATGAGTTCCTTTTAATCTACTCCCAAAAAAATTGCTTTGTCCGGGCTCTACCTGTAAAGTGTAGTTCATTGAATAATATTTCACAGATAATTCCAAGGCTGATCAATTCGTTTGGATGCGGGTTAAAAGGAATTAGATTTGTTCGTACCAGCTGAAAATAATTTGCGCACAAGTCTAGTTGGTATCGCAACCTAATAAAACAATGAGTTAAATAACTTTAATTTGTTGGTAACCAGATTTTATTTACAAGTTTAATTATATGCATGTGAATTTCGTGATTTCTAGTTCATTTAGATAAGCACTCTTCTCTTTCAACTGTTTTAAGCCAGGGGACTCAGAAGCCATTGGCAATTTCCTATAATCATATTCTCTCCTCTTGAAAATTACTTGTAGTCAAAATTGAAATTTTCAGTAATCCAAATCTTATAACTAAGGCAATGGTCATTTAAGTTGTTACTCTATAACTTTGTCTTATAGTTGTGAAAACTATCAGTCTAAACAAATGACCTAAAATAACTGTGAAAGCTACTTAGTACATGAGTAAAATAAAACATACAGTTTGTATGTATAGCTTGGCAGCTGCTTCTAAGTGCTGCTGCAAAGTATATTTGGAGATATTCTGGAGAGTTTTATTAATTCTACAACTGTCTAAGAGTTTTCTGTTTACTGTTACATGTAAGATTTATCTATAGGAAAAGGTTACTGATTGCACAAGGCTTTATTTCCTGTTGGTAATTGGTAAGGCATTTGAATTAATTAGTTAGGTGTTTGCTATTGTTTGCAAATAAGAACAGGCCCACTCGGGTGTTACATTCTTAGGGGAGGTGCTTTTAGGCGTGTATATAAGGGTTGTAGATATTAGCTTGACTAATATAGCTTGGCTGCTGCTTCTCAGTGCTGCTACAAAGTGTATTTGGAGATATACTGGAGATAAACTGGAAGTAGTCTGAGGTACACAGAAGGTGGAAAAAACAGAAACAAAAAGTAAGGTTTGATTTAAACTTGTCAACTCATTAAAATGGCAGACTTAGTTCAGTGTAATAGTTGTGCATTTATTTCACGCTCCACTTTTTGGAGGTTTGGATGTTGTCTAATCTGTAGACAGTTCTCTATATTGCAGCAGGAGTATGTATTTTTTAAATCTGAGATTTGTAAATTATCTGTTAAACAAACTCAAAGGCTGGGACTGTTGCAAATCCACTGCCGTAGAGATGTCCTAGGAATGGCAGATGGATTATTGTAGGATATGGTAGACTTAGAGTTGTGGATAAAAGGCATACTGCACAGTCTGTGTCTTTACATAATTCATTTTCTGCACTTTCAGATTGTAGTGATGTTATGGAGTCAGGCCCAGGCACTGAGTTTGTGGAACCACCATCCTCAATGCCTAGGGTGAGCAAGAGTGTAGCCAATGACAAAAAGGACAAGGTGAGGCCTGATAGAAAGCAGTTGTTGTTGGGGGATCTTTCATAAGAGGTGTGGAGCTGGACAATAGTGGCCTTGTGAGATGTCTTCATGGAGCTACTGCTCACAGAGTACAGGAGATGTATTTGTAATATTATGAAGCAAGCAAAGCAGGAAGGGGAATTGGATGGACTTTCCCATCTAGGGCAAATGACTTGGCTTGCAATGAGGTTTCTGAGGTAAAGGAAGTGTTTTTTTGTTCTTGCCAATGATATACGGCAGGTTGTTTCCACACTGTCATTCTTTGAAATTCTGCCTGTGCATGACATTCAGAATGACAGGTGTATGTTTATTAGGGACTTTAACTTGTGGCTTGGTGAATGGTGTCGGGAGCAAGGATTTGGCTTTGTTTCTCATGGTAGCTCAATTTGGAATAGAAATTAACTGTACAAAAAAGATGGTTTACATCTTTCTCAAAAGGGAACAAATGTTCTCAGTAAGCAGTTCAGAGGTTTTGCTAGGAAGTATTTAAAATAGGAAGGGGGGACAAAAGAGTGATAACACGTCAATCCAATTGCCTGCCAAAACAAGGACATAAAGTAATTGTAGCAAGTGTGTTAAAAAAATGATAAGCTTAGAGTCATGTGTACAAATGCTCACAGTTTAGGGAATAAGATCCATGAACTTGTGGCAATAATGGCAACTGAGAATGTAGATTAGTGGCTGTTACTGAGACATGGTATAATGAGAACGGTGACTGGGATATAGCAATTCCCTGGTACTCTTTATATAGAAAAGACAGAGAAGGCAAGAAAGGGGGAGGAGTGGCCCTGTATGTGAAAAGTAGCATAAAGCCTGGCCTAATAAAAGTTAGTGAGGTGAACATAGAGCCCGTTTGGGTTACGTTAGAATTTGGAAATCACACAGTAACTCGAGTAGGTGTGATTTACAGACCCCCTGGACAAATAGTTAGACTAGTTGAAGAAATAGCTAAAATGACAATGAAGGGCAAAGTTATTATCATTGGTGACTTTAATCTTCCAGATGTGAACTGGAAAACCAAAACAGCTACTCTGCTTGTGCCAGGAGCACACATATTCTAAACGTCCTACTGGGAACTAAATAGTAAGACTAGTTGAGGAAATAGCTAAAATGACAATGAAGGGAAAGTTATTATCATGGGTGACTTTAATCTTCCAGATGTGAACTGGAAAACCAAAACAGCTGCTTGTGCCAGGAGCACAGATATTCTAAACTCCCTACTCGGATTGTCTCTAAAAACAAGTCGTTGAGGAACAAACCCCCGTAAGGAGGCCTTACTAGATTTGGTGTTAACAAATGGAGATTTAGTATCAGATATTACTGTAGGTGAGAGTTTAGGATCTTGTGATATAAGTCAATGTGGTTTAATATAAGAACAGTGTCACACCACACAAAAACAAAAGTTTTAGATTTTAGAAAAACAGACTTTTCTAAAATTAGAATATGTATAAAGGAGTCCTTATCAGATTGGAGTAGTTTAAATGGAGTCCAAGAGAAATGGGATTATTTAAAAGTTGCATTTCTGAAAGCAACAGAAAATTTTATTAGGCTTGCCAGGAAGAGCAGAAAAAATAAGAAACCACTGTGGTACTCAGGAGAATTGACCAAAATAGTAAACAAAAAGTTAGCATTTAGTAATAAAAAAAAGAAGTGAGGAAGACAGAATGATCTATAAGATTAGGCAGAAAGAGGCAAAGCAAGTTATAAGAGCCTCCAAAGCACACACCGAAGAGAGAATAGCACAGTCAGTAAAAAAGGATAAAGCATTTTTTAGATAGAGAAAGGGAAAGTAAAACAAGGATTAGTTAGATTAACAAAAACAAAAGAAGGAAGGTATGTAGAAGAGGATAACGTTCTAGCTGACTGCCTTAATGAATATTTGTATTCAGTATTTAAAGATGAAAATGAAGGAGAGGGACTTTAGTTAAGAAAAAGGGAAAATGGGTAATTTGGTACATGTGAGTTTACAGAAGAAGAGGTTTTATTTCAACTGTCCAAAGTAAAGACAAATAAGTCAATAGGACCTGATGGAATACACCCAAAGTTATTAAAAGAGCTTAGTGGTGTACCAGCAAAACCATTAACAGATTTATTTCACCAATCATTGTTAGTCTAGTCTGGAAATTCGCTTGGAAATTAGCGAATGTTGTACCCATTCACAAGAAAGATAGTAGGGTGGAGTTGGGCAGCTACAGGTCAGTAAGCTTTACTTCAGTAGTGGAGAAATTGATGGAAACCATGTT